AGTGGTCTTGGAGGTAAGGGGACATTTTGTGTTAGATGTGGGTCTTAAGCCTTTCAAGATGGTAAGAATTGGATAGATGGAGGCAGTGAGGGTGGAATGGGGTTGGGATGATAAGTGAGGGCATTATCAAGCTGATAAAAGTTGCTGTCCAGTTGACTTCAATTCCTGGTGACCCCCTGTGTGTTGGAGTAGAACTATGCTCCATAGAGTTTTCACTGGCTGGTTTTTCAGAAGGACATCACCACTTTATTCCAAGGTGCCTCTGGATGGACTAGAACCTCCAACTTTTTGGTTAGCAGCTGAGTGTGTTAACCATTTGCACCACTCATGGACTGTTTATCAAACTGAGGATCTTACAAAGTGAGAAGTTTGGGTTTGGGCCTCTAGGGTGGTGGGTGAGAAGGAGCCACTATAGGTTTGGAGCAGAAGAGTGGCACTACAGATTCTGCTGCCTGTGTGGGATAGATTGCCACCAGCAAGCTACCATGTGCACCTCTGTATTTCGGGCATATGAAGCAAAGGCAGCAGGACTGTCAAATCAACCAAGGCTAATTTATACTGCTGTACGAAATGAATGGAAAAACCGGCTGTTACAAAAGCATCTTTTCCCTGTGCCTCTTCCTGGGAAGTGGTTGATGTGGTGGGTGAGGAGTGAGAATGAAGAGGTTTCATTTTTACTCTCTGTGCCTTTCTAATCTGTTTACTGTTGATGTAGGGACAGCATAGGGAATATTATCCTACATTATATGAGTTTGAGCCATATAAACTTTGCATGTTGATCAAAATTGGTAGAACTACTGGCAGTTGCATATGGTTTAGTCTGATTGATTTTGAAGATAAAGTTGTTTCTGGACATGAGTGAGTGTGGGCTGGACTTGGGCTTTCTGGTCAAGTCATTTGCTATAGGTATGGGGACAAGAGTGCTTGCAGTTAGCCTGGAAGTTCTGGGTGGTGAGACTGGTCCTGGAGGCTGGGCTCTTCCTATCCCTATGTTTGTTTTTCCTGCCTATGGACCAGGCATTCAGAGTCTCCTTATTTGTCTTCTTAGCTTTAAAGAAGTAGAGAAACATTTGCTCTGCTAAGAATTTTACAGGGGTGTGTGTGGAGGTGGAGGTGAAAATGTGTGCCTACTGTGGTTGTGTCTTCTTTGTTCTCCCCAGAAGTTTGGATACAAATGGAAATGTAAACACCATTTCTGTCACTCTCAGTTATGTTGGAGAGGTGGAGAACTGAGCTCTCACCCTTGGTGTGGAGGTTTTCAACGAACTCTTGAATGCCTGGGCAGTGGGCTAAGCATGCCTGGTGTTGGTGTGGCAGAGCCAAGCTGTTCTGTCTTCACATCCTTAATGTCTTTGCCCTGATCTGGCAAACCTAGGAGCCTTTCCTAGGTTCAGCCGTGGGGTGTTCCCACATTGCTCCTCTGACCACCAGGGTTCAAGGAAGGTTATGACATAAAGTTTGCTGAAACTGGCTGAGCACAGTCATCCCAGGGTGCACACTTTCATCTCCTTCCCTGACTTGGGTACCATGGGACCAAGTCATCTGGCACCATACCCAGTCTCCGTAAGATGTCACTTGCATCCCTGTCATCCTCAGTCACCACTCAACATGTAAGACCCACCAGTGTCTGTCCTGTTTCCCAAGTGCTGCTTCATGTCTCCCTAATATCTCACACTGTCCTGTTCACTGGGGCCCTCCTGAACCCCCTTCAATGTCGAACTATCCTACATCCCTAATATATTCACCGAATGTTCCCTTGTCTTCATGGTTCTCTCCTGAGCATGCACCTTCTCTCCCTTCCCTGGAATAGAGAATGCTTCCTTTCCAGGGACTGTGGATTTTATAGGCAGGGATCAGAAATTACGTTTCCTGGGCTACTGCAGATCTATTATTTTTCTTCCCTCCTATAAAACCTTTTCTTAGTTGAGGCTTATATCACCCATTGATACAATTTACTGCCTTTTTTTGGGCACTGTTATCTAGTGACTGCTTAGCCATTTCTTCATTTTACAAGTGTCTTCCTCTCAATCCTGAGTCTTAGTATCATCAGTGGTGATGTCATTGTCCATCTGGGCAAACTTTCCAGCTCCTGGATTCATCGTTCCTTGACCCCACTACTCTAGTGGCCTTTACCTCATCAAATATTGAAAGGCCAACTCAAACATGGTCCTTTGAGCATTGGTGACCTCCTTAAAGTTGATCTGCCTCTTGATGCCTCTGAGTTTTCCTGGTGGGCCTGTCCTCTGCTCTACTCTGACTTCAGTTGGTGGTTGACCCCTTAAGCCTCCCTAGCCTTTCCTAACATCTTCTTGGAAAAGCCTCAGCCTAGGATGTATGCCAAGCCCCTTTTCCTGCCCCCATACCATACCAAATCTGCTGAGGAAATAATCATGACTTCAAACCCACCAGCCACTCCTTGGAAGGACGGTGGGCAATCTACTTCCGTGGGGATGCCACCTCAAAAACGCAAGGAGGGGTCGCTATGAGTCAGGTCCGACTCGATGGCAGTGAGTTTGTTTTTTTTGGTCCATTTATCTAGCCCGAAATATGTATCAAGGGTCTGACTTTGTCCAAAGTTAGGTAAAGGAAATGAGTGAGAACCCTGGTCCTTTGCCATGCATTTGATGGTCACCTTCCTGGATACCCTTTCTCAATATTTCTAGTGAAGGAAGGAAATCAGTGTTACTGCTGTAGATCTCTTTTCTCCTTCCTTGTCTCCCCTGTCCTCCCCTCCCCACCCTCCTCTTCTTCTTCTCTCCTGTGTTCTCCTCTTCTCTTCTTTCCTCTTTCTCTCTCTCAACATCAATCTATCTAGGATAGAAATTGACACAGAGAGAAATGGATATCAGATGTCTGCAAATAAATAGTTTCACTGTAAACATGATCGTTAGCTCATAAATTGGCAGGTGGGAAAGTCAGTAGCAGCCGCTACTTTGTCAACCGAGCTGACACCTCTGTTGAGCTGGAAATCATCTCAGAACAGATTGTACTTTATAATTAAAAATCCTAAACCACTCTGTGTAATATGTTGGGCCAAACTGCCCATCCTGGTACAACTGGAGTTTCTGCTGTAGTTGATTCAAATACATTTAAACAATTATTTTTAACTTTTTAAAAGAAGCATAAATGACAGGTTCCTACCTGTGGAATATGACTTATGGATCCTGTGGGGTAACTTTAATAATTTGTAGCCACTGTCATGATTTAACTGAATTATACATCCTATTATACATCAGTTATACAAATTATACATCATTTTCCTTTCAACTTGCTTGACCAGGACAGAAATGGGGAAACTGAACCACTTTTGCTGCAACTCCTTTACTGTGGCTGGGTACAACTGACCAGGAAGTGCAAGTCTTGTTTTATTCATGCACGTTCTCATTATTAAACCTCTGAACATTAATAAGACCTTGGTTTCTTTCTTTTCTTTTATTAACAAGGAAAATGTTTTTATACTTAAACTGAAACCTTTTTCAACTTTCTTTTTCCAACCCCTGATACAGGAAAATCTCAATCAGGCTTTAAGAAATTCCCACCAAATAATGTTGATCCATGAGTTCTTGTGATGATAGGTGATGATGTAAGCAATAGAATTCACTTTATCAATAGATTATTATTAAAATAAAATTACAATACAAACATATTAAGATAGAAAAGACAGCATTCCAAACCAAACCAAACTCACTGCCGTCGGTTGGATCCGATTCATAGCGACCCCTCCGTGGGTTTCTGAGGCACTATCAGTACGGAAGTAGACTGCCCAACCTTCCTGCCGAGGAGCAGCTGGTGGGTTTGAATTGCCAGCCTTCTGGTTAGCAGTCAAGTGTCTTAGGCACTATGCTACCAGAGCTCCCATGGGCAGCATTAGTAACTAGCAATTACTGTGTCTTTACTGTGCTTCAAACCATCTGTTTACTAAATGGTAATTGTTTTCTCATTTACTCCTCACAAACCCTGGAGGAAGGTGTTATTATTTCTACTTTATGGAAGAAAATACTGACATGTTAATAACTTGCCCAAGTTCACATAAATAGTAAATGGCCATGTCAGGATTCAAATCCAAGTTAGTCTCATTTGATCACAACCACTTCACATACTACACCTCACCTTAAATGAGAATTGCTCTTGGTAGAGTTGGGTAAGATTTGATTTCTCTATGGTTCCAGAATATTCTGACCTGTTGTTGGTGCCTCCTGGGCAACAAACTTTGGGCTTTTAACTCAGTCATAGATAATTGGAGGTTGTCTCACCCTGGAACACGTGGATGCCTGCTCACAGGATCAAGTCTCACTTAGAGAGGGCTCTGAAGCATGGCCCTTCTCAGGGACCTCTGGAAGGGCTACAGGAGTCACCGCAGGCCCAATGCTGACTCCATTCCATGCTCCTAGTCTCTCCAGAGGAGTCTGGGATTAGACTTAAAGTGTAATAACTCCATTTTTCATAAGACCCTCAAAGATGACACTTACAAACTATAATAGTCGAATCAGTCATCTTTAGAAAAGCTTTGGTGAAAGCCAAAGGATGCTTTGAACTCATTTTAACTAATATCCTACTGTCCTTTTCCTATTGTAGGACAACGAAGCTTATGTGACCATTCTTTAAAATATCTAAGCTCAAGAATCACCGAGCGGAAGCTGCAGGGTACATGGCTTCCTGCTGGCCAAGGGAATCTGGAGAAACCATTGTTGGGGCCACATGGCTCCATTGTGCCCATGTTCAACCCTCAGAATGGCCTTCACTCCATCCATGCTGAGAACAGCCCTCTGAAGCCCAGGGTTGTGACCGTGGTGAAGTTGGGTGGGCATCCCCTCCGGAAGATCACCCTACTCCTCAACAGGAGGTCAGTGCAGACATTCGAGCAGCTCATCGCAGACATCTCAGAAGCCTTGGGCTTTCCAAGATGGAAGAATGATCGAGTGAGGAAACTTTTCAACCTCAAAGGCAGGGAAATCAAAAGTATCTCTGATTTCTTCAGGGAAGGGGATGCTTTTATAGCCATGGGAAAAGAACCATTGACATTGAAGAACATTCAGATGGCTATAGAAGAACTGTACCCCAACAAAGCCCGGGCTTTGACACTGACTCCACACAGCCGAGCCCCTTCCCCAAGGCTGAGGAACAGGCTTTATAGCAAGGCTCTGAAAGGGGGTCATCACTGTGGGGAGACAGAGATCACCAAGAGCTGTGGTGAGGCTGCTGGGTCCAAGGTGGCCACCAGGCATCCAGGAAAAACTTCTGTGGAGCCAGCGCTGGAGGACAGGGCGAGGGCCCAGAAGAACTGGGTGAGGGGGAAGTGGGAACCTGAATCTAATAGCAAGCCCCCCAGGGAAGCTACTCAAGAGGAAAGGCTTGCAAGTGGAGAGAAGCACCTTGGGGTGGAGATAGAAAAAACCTCGGGGGAAATTATCAGATGTGAGAAGTGCAAGAGAGAGAGAGAACTCCAGCAGAGCCTGCAGAGGGAGAGGCTCTCCATGGGGACCAGCGAGCTGGACATGGGCAAGTCCTCAAGGTATGATGTGGAGAAGCTGGTCAGGACAAGAAGCTGCAGGAGATCTCCTGAGGTGAACCCTTCAGGTGGGGAGGAAGGATGGAAGGGTGACAGCCACAGAAGCAGTCCCAGGAATCCCACTCAAGACATGAGGAGACCTAGCAAGAACATGGAGAAGAAAGAGGACAGAGACCCAGAAGGTCAAGAAAGTCATCCTCCAGGAGCAGTGAAGACTAAGACAGAACTTGTGGATGCTCAGCCAGTCACAGATGAGGGGCTAAGGGAAGTGAAGAAAGACACCAGGAATGTCTGCAGGAACAAGCATGGTGGCTGGCTCCTGAGAGAGCAACGGGCTGACTCTGAGAAGCTGCCTAGGACCCGAGGTGAGGAGAAGGAGGCTGAGAAGGAGAAAAAGGTGTGTACGTCAGGAGGGAGAAAAATGGTTCTCAGAGATGACGACCCTGCAAGGGTAGAAAAGGAGCCCAAGACAAGACCAGAAGAAAACAAGTCTGAACGACCACTGGGCCGGAAGACACGGCCCAAGGGCATCATCTCAGCTGACGTAGGGAAGCATTATGAGACTGGCCGGGTCATTGGTGATGGGAATTTTGCCATAGTGAAGGAGTGTAGGCATCGAGAAACCAAGCAGGCCTATGCAATGAAGATAATCGACAAGTCTAAACTCAAAGGAAAGGAGGACATGGTTGACAGCGAGATCTTGATTATTCAGAGCCTCTCTCATCCCAACATAGTGAAATTACATGAAGTATACGAAACTGAAACGGAAATCTATCTGATCATGGAGTATGTGCAGGGAGGTGATCTTTTTGATGCAATCATAGAAAATGTGAAGTTTCCAGAACGAGATGCTGCCCTAATGATCATGGACTTATGTAAGGCACTCGTCCACATGCACGACAAAAGCATTGTCCATCGAGATCTCAAGCCAGAAAACCTTTTGGTAAGTCCTGGTTTTGTTGCTATCGGAGGGAATGTTTTTAATTTTTTTTTCCTTTTCAAAAATATATTTTTTAGAGCAATACTAGGTTTACAGAAAAATTGCAAAGAAAGTACAGAGAGTTCTCATATACCCCCTAGGAGAGGGTGTTTATAAAATGTAAGATAAATTAACTCCCTTATGCTCTGTTACACTACACACTAGAACATTGCCTTTATATTATTTTTACATACTCATTTGATATTTAATATTTTGATTATAGCTCATAAATGACTGAGATAAATTGGTTTTGATTAAATTCTTGATAAATAAGCTGACCAACTTAAATAAAATGAAAAATGCTTACTCATCTGTGGGTGAAGGATATTGTTGCCTTGACAATGAACATGTGGACTTAATTTCTTAATCATTTTCACATCCTCTGGCCCAAGTACTGGTGAAGTGGGGTCTACTGTTAGCAGCTTCATTATACCCCTCATCCCGCTGAAAGCCCCATCTGGCCTGTTTCTTTGTCGAGGGAAGACAGACGGCTCCACACTGCAGGGGCCTGGGTGTGGAGTGGGTAAAAGCATGGCTCTGGGGACAGATAGTCTGGCTTTGAATCCTGGCTTGACTTAGGATAAGTCCTTCCCCTTTCTGAGTCTTAATTTCCTTATTTATAAAAGAGAAACAATAATAGTACCTGTTCATAAGATTGTGTGAGGACTGTGCATGAGAAAGAGAAAAGCAGCCCCTGACGGTTGGGTCTGACAGGAAAGTTTGGTCCCGGTGTTCTCCTCTCGAAAATAAATAATTTCACAAAGTATTAATGTTGGACAAGGCCACTTTATGATAATGATGGTTCAAGACAAAAGCAAGACCACTGTAATAATGTCTGAATGCAGATTCAAGACAAAAGCAAGACCACTGTAATAATGTCTGAATGCAGATGAAAACAAAATCAAGACTATTGTCCATGTTACAAATATGGCCACATATCTTCTTAGTCTAGCTATAATGAGTGACAGCTTCACTTTATTCCTCCTACTTTCTAGATAAGAATTACTAAAATAACCAGCACACCCCACTTGGTGACAGTATCCAATCCAGAACAAAACCCTGCTTTCTTAAGCCTTTTTCCAAATCACCAAATGGCCCAAATCCCTTAAGTCCTTTAAACACCCTCCTACTCAGGTGCCTCATGGATCTCTATGATCTCCTTTTTACAACGAGTCAATAAACTCCACTTGTTTGACTATAGTGTGCTCCTGGTGATCGTAGATTGGACCTAATACTGTCACTCTCTGGCATCTTTATCCCACTTTGTTCTTCATAGCCTCGATCACTACCTGATACGTTCTGTATTTATTCATCTGTTTTTTTCTCCTCTCATTGGAAAGAAAGTTCCATGACCGCAGGGGGTTTATTTTATTCGGATTTTACCCTCACACCCAGAACAGTTTCGGTCATTCGGTAGACATTCAGTAAATGTAAGGTAGGTGAATAAATGAATTAAAGACATAGCATGTTGCCTGGGAGATAACATTCCATCACAGGGAGCTACTGTGATTATTATTACATTTAAAATAATTCTGATATTAAGGTGGATATCATGAGTTAGCATTCGTTATTTTAAAGCTAGATTGCTACAGATAAAGTAGTAGGGAGTGAAGACAATGATCTTGATGAGCCACATTAATATTGTTTGTTTGTTTTTGGCAAGGATTTAGCTTATTTCCTTTAATTTCCATGGATGTCAACCTAGCCTGAAAATACCATCCCAATACATTCATCTGTCTGTAAACTGCTCCCACAAGCACTGAATGAGTCAGGCTAATGACCTGGTGAAATGAGCTTTATGCTGACCACTAAGCCAAGCAACCTTATTTTTGCTCAGATTCATAAAATTGCAGAAGTAATTTGACTGGTTGCCCAAATGGCCTGAATGACCACTAGATAAATTTCCTTTTGAAAAATTTCATTTTTACATTAGCTGGGTGTCCTTGTCACTATTAGTTGGAATCGACTTGATGGCAGTGGTTCCCCTCCAACCCCCCAGTTTGGGTGTCCTTGTCTTTTCTTCACTCACTTTTTTGACTGTCTCTGTCTTTTGGATCTGAGTCCAGATGTACTCCATGTACGCTGTGCTGTATACTTCATTATGGAGACTGTGTTGGAAATTGCAACAGAGCAGTGCTCTGTAATGACTCTTAGATGTTGTCACCAAATTGTCTAAGCAGGAGAGATTTGATTAGAGGCTTGGGTAGGCCACATGACTGAACATTTTGGGGATGTGTCTACTAAAACAGTATTATGGTTATATAAGTCCTCCAGCATATGGAATGAGATCACCTACCCTCTAGAGTTGTTTTCTTCTAGGGACAGTCAGCTGAGCTTGCACTTGTCACAAAAGTCCTGGAACCAGTGGCTGAAGCAGCCCATCTCTTGGGTAATAGAGGCTTTATGGTAAGGGACTTACTTGTCAACAATTTTTAAAATGGAGAAAATCAGCACTAGTTTGGATTAAGGGGGCAATTTGCTTTGGGAAGGAGAAAAACTACCCAGAATGTGTTCAACGTGGAAGAGCTAACTGCCTCTGAGAAGCCATTGGGCAATTCTTCATGGATTTAATGTCAAACTTATGTGCTTTTAGTTTTTAGGGGCAATGAAGTGTGTGCAGGCATGTGTGTGTGTGTGTGTGTGTATACGCACGTGTGCAGAATAGCTGTGATTTCTCAGTCTAAAACATGAGTCATTGTTTCTTGGTATTGATTGTACCTGATATGCAGATCATTTTCTCTATTCTAATTTCAGAAAAAGTGACTTTTTTTTTTTAACATAAATTTGTGTGTGTGTGTGTATGTGTGGTGGTATGGCTCCTTCAGAAACTGCAGAAAACTACATATTTGAGCCATCTTTTGTGGAATAGGTTAATATATTTTCGCTCTTATGGATAATTTGTCAGCTTGTACTTATCAAAACAAACAGGTCTGTCACATTTATAAAACATGTTTATCCTTTTTCTGAGTGAGTAAAATTTAACATATTGTCAATGTCAGGAGTCTAAAAGTTGTCTAATGTCAGCTTTTTGGTTTTCAGAAAGATATGGCTGTCTGTCTGTAAAGATTAGTTTTGGAGACTCAACAGCAATGAAGTTGGGTTTGTTTGTTGGTTGGTTTGTTTGCTAAGCTTAAGGCCTCTAGGTGGTACAAATGATTTGTTTTCAGTCACTGATCTAGAGACTGGAAGTTTGAATCTACCCAGTGTTGCCATGGAGGAAAGACCTGCTGATCTACCTCTGTAAAGATTACAGCCAAGAAACCTCTTAAGGATCTCAGTTCTGTCCATAACACATGGGGTTGCTGTGTGTTCGAGTTGACTCAACGGCATCAAGTTTTCTTTTTTTTTTTTTTTTGGTTAAGCTTAGGAAAGTGATTATGTTAGAACTATGATTACATGGCTGATTGTAATTATTGCTGCTTTTTGAAACTTTCTGAATGTGTAAGAGCTCTTAATGAATATAGCAAGTTTATCATGTTGTATTAATCAATAAATATTTATATCTGATAATTGGGCCCTATCATAAAGTTTCAGGTCCATATTAATGAGTTTATCTATTTCTACTGATCACGTTACAGATAAGATGCTAGTTTTCTTCTTCCCTTAGGGTTTTTTAGACTCCAGAGATCTTGCAAAAGAAGTTTTAATTATAAGAATGTCTAGCTTGCAGAAATATCAGTGTTAATTGCTTCTTCTGCTGCTATTTGCTCCCTTGGTGGGGTTGGAAATGAATATGCTGCATGCTGTAGGCTGGGTCCTGGGGGATGGAGGAGAGAGGAGCTGAGAAAGTGATAATAATCAGAGACCAGCTCAGACAGGATGGGCAGTGGGCAGGCCAGGTTATTTAAGGACAACGGCTGAGTTATTACACCTAGGAAAGAAAGCTGAGTGAGTGGAATGGATGAAGACTGAAGAGATGTCAGAAATGAATGAGCAGAATCATTTGGGAAAATCTCTCTCAGAGTAAGGGGGAAGAGGAGGAGTGGGTTTTTGCTTTGGAAACAAGGTTAAGAGGACTGAAATGAGGGGGCAGGCTGCTGTGCCTTGGCTGATAGGTTGTTGTATTATTATGTGCCATCGAGTCAGACCCGACTCATAGCGACCCCTCCTTGGGTTTCCAAGGCAGTATCACTACGGAAGTAGATTGCCCAACGTTCCTTTTGAGGAGTGGCTGCTGGGTTTGAATAACCAGCTTTCTGGTTAGCAGTCAAGGGCCTTAGGCACTATGCTACCAGAGCTCCTACATAGAAGGCATATTGCCCCAGCCGCCCTACTCCCTAGACCCAGGTGCTACAGCTGTGGAGTGCCACAAGCAGAGACTTTTGGAATCCAGGAGAAATGGTGGTGGTAGAGTTGTGGGGAGGTCACAGCTTGTAGGACAAAAATTGTATCCTCATTCTGGCCCTTTGTTGGTTCTAGATATCAGATCCAATCAGGTTTGTCTAGGTATTTAACCACTCAATGTAATTAGGACAGGTTAGTGACTGATGTCCCCAAATGTGCCGAGGAAAATCTGTAAGAATGAAAACATCCAAGCACACTGCTTGCCTATTCTTCTAAAATAATCGTGTCCAATTGTTTTGTTCATCTTAATTTCCTAAGTTCTTTTTCCACTTCTACTTTGATATCCAGGAAGGTCTCAGTGCTTATTGTGCTGTTGTTATTGTCAGTGGTTCAGTGAGGCGTATTTCCCTCTGATCAGCAAGACTTCTCTTCTACCACATTCAGTTTCAATCTCCTTTCCCTTTATTCTCTAAGACAGAGATATCCATGCCTTCTCAATAATGGTCCAAGTATTTACAGACTCCTTTGTACATGGTTTGCACTAATTTTTCAAGAATAGATAATAATTTAAAAGTATATCTTGTTGTTGTTGTTATGTGCCGTCGAGTCAGCCCTGCTCATAGCGACACCTCCTTGGGTTTCCGAGGCAGTATCACTACGGACGTAGGATTGCCCAACCT